GGTCTGCCCAGCTGCAGGGGATCCCAGGGAGGTGGGAACAACTTAGGGTCTTCCCAGGGCCAAGGTCTCCAGCCCATTCCCAGATGCAGCCCCGAAGAGCAAGCCCAAAAAAGGGCTGGGACTCAGCTGCCCGCTAGCTGGCTAGGAAGCAGAGCAGGGGGAGCCAGGGCTCCAGAAGCATCTCTGGGCTCCTCCTCTGTGACTTCTGTGATGTAGACACCCCTTCCCTGCTCTCAGCCCCTAAATTCAGGGGATACATAGGGAAAACTAGGCTGCCATAGTCCTACGGGCCAAAGCCAGTTGGCTCCCATCTCCTGTGGTCTGGGATCTTGGAGCTTCAGATGGTTCTCTGGACCTGCCCACAGGGACCCAGAGGGACCATCCTGGCATGGGGGGAGGGGAGCAGGGCAGCCGCTAACCATGGCCAAGCTCATTCTCTCTTCTTTCACTTCTGGATCTAGAAGCAGGAAGTATTCTAGGTGGGGGGAGTAAGGAGGTGGGGTAGACTGAGGAGGAGGAGCGGGCTTCTAGCACCCCTTACCGTTGGAGGGGGATGAGGTGCTCCCAAACAAGGAACACAGAGCCAGCCGCCTTCTCCACAATCCTTCAATTGTTTCTTAGCAACTGATTTCCCCATCACTTGAGTCATCTTATCAAATCCTCTGCTATTTTCATAAGAGTCCTCATAAACGGGTGTGGGCCGCTCTCTTGCACTTTGCCCGGGATATTTCAGGGTTTCTGCGCAGGCACACCATGTAGATACCTGACATCCACAAACTTAATACCCCGTCCATGATGCGTACATGTGTCATTCAAATAGCACTCACCCTTGACCCACATGCTCAGTTAACTCCCACCCCACCCCACACATGCGCATGCCCTGCTTTTACCTTCATCCCATTTCAACATATTTGTATTCTAGAACCTCTCTGTGCCAAGAAGGCACTGGAGAGAGAGTGGTGGCAAGACCAGTCTGTCCTCAGCAGGTCACAGCCCAATGACAGAGGCATACACAAACAATGAAAGCATGGGGTTTGCAGCCAGACAGGGCTGCGACAGGCTGTTCATTCTCCAGTAAAGACTCTCTGGTGACCTCAGGCCTGTTACCCTCCTTGAGCCTCAGAGTCCTCATCTGGTAAATGGAATAATAACGGTACCCACCTGGTGAGTTTGTTCTGAGGATTAAATGAATTGACGAAAGTGAAGTCGATAGAACAGGGCTTAACACACAGAGCCAAAGAAGT